TCAGCCCCGGGGGCAGCCGGTTGCCGGGGGGGGACCCCGCGCGGACATCGAGTGAGGCCGGGACACGGGGGGGCACCCAGGGCTCCGTCTCTCCCTCCTCCCCTTGACCTCCCGCCTCTCTCCTGACAGCGCCGCTCGGGACCGGCCGTTCCCCTCCAGCATCCTCGGCGGTGGCTCCGCTCCAGCAGCCAACACACGGGATTGAAATGACCTTGAAAGCCGGGAACAAGGGCAGCTCGCCACATCCCGTCCGGGCTCACTCGGGCCGAGGCAGCCCGACCGCAAGTGCCTCCCTCCGGCTCTGATCCTCGTTTTTTTTTTTTTGGGAGGAGAAATCCCTGGCTCGCTCTCTCTTGCCTCCTCTGCGCGCTTCCCTCTCACTTGTGCTGGCAGCGGGGAAGGGATCCAGCAAAAATCAAACGCCGCTGGAGGGGCTTGTGCCGGACCGTTTCCAGGCCGGATCCCAGCACTGCGTAAGGAGATGCCACTCCGTGGGGAGGGAGAAGCACTGGGCTTTGCTTGGCAAAGCTGCAGCCCGGGAGGCGAGCTGGGGGTCTTAGGGAGCCTTCACGGGCAGAGGGGGAGGCTGTCAGCCCTGCTACAGTGGGCTGGGGTTGGCAGGTCACCAGCAATGTTTTCCCTTTGCTGCGGACTCCTGTTCCACCTGCTCTGCCTCCTCTTGGGGGTTCTGCACTCTGACCGTTCTTGCTCCGCCTGTAGTTCGGGGCACTTGGGATGGCAGTTCTCCTGCAGGAGCAGCTTCCGGCTAAAAAAATTCCTCGAGGAGGGTGACGGCGTGAGCCGCTAGAAAGTGTTTTCCTCCCCATCAGCTGTGCCTGGAGCACAAATTTATCTTGTCCTGTGCTCCGAAACCCCGGATCTCCATCCCTGCTGCATCTGGGAGCCAGGATGGAGTGAGATCTGGAGAGGGGGGACAAGGCAGCTGCTGCGATGTCTCCACTGGGGCTGAGGATGGTCCTCACAGACCCCAGACCCTCCCTGGAGCCACCCGGTGCCAGCGTTGTGTCTGGGGACCGACTGACCCAGGACTTGTCCCTGGTGGTAACTGTAAGAGGGAGAGAAAACTGGGACAGGACCATGCAGCGCTTCCAAGTGCTCTCCAGCCTCTGGCTCTTCTCATTTTAGGGGATTTCTGTGTGTTTGATGACCTCAGGGGGGTTTGTTGATGCCCTCGTCTTGAGCAGGGGGTGCCTCTCCCTGTCCCCTGTGCGGTGCCCCTTGGTGTCAGCCCTGGTTAGGGCTAAATCCGCTCGCCCAGATTAAGCAGCACAGCCGCTTGGGGATTTAAGGGATGACGTGGGGGAAGCTGGAGTGGGTTGAGAGTGGGTTGGAGCCCCTTTTCCAGCACAGGGGCGGGGGGGTGAAGGCTTTGGCGCCTTCACAATATGAATTTTGGCTTCAGGGCAGTGTGGCATCACCTGGGAGAGGGTGTTTATGGCATGGGGCTGCCCGTCCTGAAGGCACGGGGTGCCCAAGGAATCAAGCAGGGAAAAAGCATTTTGGTGCAGTGCCAAGGGATGTTATTTTGGTCCTTCTTGCCGGTAGAGTCTCCCTTCCCTTCCAGACACATCCTTTGACCTGAGCTTCTAAAAAAACCCCACAGCCTTGGTGTGTTCATCCCATCCCTACAATGCTCAGGCTTTGGGGCCGTGCGGGCAGCTCGTTTGCTTTGCAGACACTGGCTGTGGGAATCCAGGAGCTGGTTCCCAGCCTGGTCCTAACCACATGGCACCGGTGACTTGTGTTCATTTTTTCTGCAGCCACGCATACATGCTGCATCCTGAGGGAGCAAACCCTGTGCCTCCGGCCGGGATTCAGCCCAGCTCCATTGCATCGGGACAGCGTTTCGGTCGGGCCCTCGAGGCTGTGGGAGCGGGGGGCTCATGCGTCTTGAACTCTCAGGCCATTTGGTTGTCTGGTGCAGCACCCCCATCCTTGTCTGTGGGGGATTATTTAGATGGGTTTTCCTTTGGACATGCCTCTCGGAGCAGGAGCAGGGTGTGTGTAGGGACGGAAGCACAGGGCAGCGAAAGAGCCCCTCTCTTTATTTAGGAAGCAGTTTGGGATGGCTTCTCCCCCTGGGCTCTGTCGCACCACCATGGCATTGTCCCTGTGAGCACCGGGATGCACTCCAGCTCCGCACTCGTCCTGCCTGCTGGTGTTCATCCTGCCCGCTGCCGACCTGCCTGTTCCCCACCTGCTCTGGCATCAGCCCCTGCCCGTTGAGCTGAGCTTTTTTCCCTTGAATAATTTCCTCTCTGCCGGTCTGGTGGCTGTTTGCTGGCTCTGCCATGCTGCCGGAGCCAGTGGGTCGCTGCTCCGACATCGGTTCCCTGGGATTGCACTCTGCTTTGGCTCTTGGTGCCAGAAGCACTGCGGCACAGCAATCTCTGGTTGCGGTTTGCCGAGGGCGGAAGCATCACCTTTCTGGCCTGCCGGGTGATAACCTTCCCTGCGCGCCACTGGGTGCATGTTTACTTTACCTGTCGCGGCTGATAAGTGCTTCTGATAAAACGCATGATGGTAAATAACGGGCTTTAATGAGAGGGGAGCAATTAAAGGAAGGAGGTAGTGCCTTCAGCATGGGCTTTGCCCTGGGAAGATGGTGTTTTGCCAACTTGGAGGAGCAGACCCTGGCCCTTGTTGGCCAAAATCTCCATCACCCCAGGGAGTTTCGTAGATCTGTGATTTTTCCCATCCCGACCTCCATCTCTTGAGGAGGAGAGGCTCTGCTTTGGAAAGTGTTATCGGAGGCAACGGGGAGGGAGCTGCCGCTCCTTGGCCACTTGGCTGCGAGTGCCGGGGAGTTCCTGGCAAGAAATGCCCTTTTTTTCCCTCCATGTGACTTGAGAAATCACAGAAATATTCTGGCTGTCCTTGAGCGGCAGAGATACGAACATCTCTGTGTGAACAGGGGTTGGAGAGAATTGATTTACAGCTCCGAAACACATCTCCCTTCCCCTTGGGGGCTAACAGGCTTCTCCCTGCAGTGCCAAACCGATGCATGAAAAAGCAGCTCCCCTGAAGAGCCCCGAGCCCATGCACGGCCGTGAGAAATTGGAGGCATCGCACAAGGAGAAGAGTTTGGATTCCCTCGATGGCAGGTGAGGGGCAGCGTCACTGTGGGGTCCTGGGGTCTGTGGTTGAGTGTTTGCTCTTTTTCCTCCTGTTTCCACCTCCTGCAGCATCCCTGCTGCCTCCAAGCCTCGAAATGCAGCCTGCCAGCTGGGGGGGTCCCCTCTTTGGTTTTGCTCTCAAATATTGTGTCTATAAAAGCAGAGAGGGGAGAGTGTGTGGGGAATGGTGAGGGTATCCCTGCTGCTGAGTGTTGGGACGATTTCACTGTCTGTCTGGTTTCTCCCTTCATCTGCCTGCGTGATGGATGCGAATGGGTGCCCCCACGCATGGCCAAAGTCCTCCTGCACCGGGCATGTTCCCAAATTCCCATTTGTGCTTTCCCTGGGGAAACCTTGACCTTGACCTGGCTGAAGCTCCCATCGCCAGCTCCTAGCCTGTCCCAGGCTGCTGCCGAGGGCAGCTCTGGGCTCCTTCCCCCAGTGCTGGGGTGT